TTCCAAAGTAGGGGTTCACCCATGAGTGAGATCTAGTACAGTTTTACTCGCAAGGTCCCTGCAGCCTTCAGTTATTGCAGGGGACTGGAAAGTTCTCTTATGGGTGTGAGATATAGGCGAGAATCTTTTTCATAGTGCTAGAAGGTCATATATATGGAGGGCTTTGTTAAGGAAAGACTCTTCTAATCCTTCTTATCATTTTTGTGAGACATCCAGAATGAGTGTAGTTTTGTTCCCATTAAGATTACTTTCCAGCTGCCCTGGCCTTGATCAGCAATCATTCCATCAAAACTTTGTCCGGCTTAACTTATCCCCATGATTTCATGATGAACCCATGCACGGCTTTCTTGCCTTTTTGAGAGAATTCCAAGGTCCACAAACTGGAACCGGTTGTCAATGCCAAGAACTGCAAAAGTTGAACTGAAATGTAGAAGTTACCTCTAAGCATATTCTCAGCTAAGGAAGTGGTGTTCTGTACCAGAACTGAACCCACAAATACTTTCCCACCCAAATCTACCCGTTTTCTTCCCATTCTTTTATGCTGTCAGCAGCCTAATTTGGGAAGAAGATTAGGCTTTTTTGTCACTCTCACTAATCCACTGGGAGTCAGATACACCTGGAGATCTACCAGCCAATCCTAGCCTATGCTCTGCCCACTCCTGCTATAGTGTAGGGACCCCGGGGCACCATTTCAGATTATGAACAGAGGTTTTAATTGGAGGGAGCTTCAGGTAGGGTCAAAGGGTCACTTTAAAGGCATTCCAAATTAAATAGCAAAAAAGGAAAAACAATGCATTTTAAGAGCTTCTTTAAAACTAGTCATGTTTTCAATCTGGAACAAGCATCCATCTTAGAAATAAAGGTGTTTGTGCCTTTGGCATGCATATCCATGTGTTATTATTGGCATAGGTCAAGTTACTTATTTTTTAAAAAAAATCTTATTTAATCCTAAAAAGGATTAGGCATATTTGTGAAGGATAGTCTATCAGTGTCTATTAGCTACCACAGTTAATTGGAGGGGCATTTTCAGAGGTAATAAGCTGCTAATAGCAGTAGCTGGATGAGGATCAGGGTGGAAATGAAGTGGGAAGGCAACAACAGGGACAGCTTTGCTTTTATGTTCTGCTTATGTCCTGTAAGAAACATCTAGCTGGCCAGTATCCAGAACAGGTTGTATACTGTTCAGGTGGACCCTTGATCTGGTTAAGCAGGATCTTTTTCACATTTTTGAGTTTACAACAATTATAATAAATGTATATAAAAATTAATTCATCCATCCATTCTACACCAGCCTTTACCAAACTAGTATCTCTAGACTACAACTTCCCAACCAGGATGGCCAAAGTTCAGAAATTATGAAAGTTGTAGTCCCAAATGGTTCCGTCTTAAACAATGAGGGGTGAAAGGAGGTGGGGAAGAAGAGACAGAAGGTAGAAACCTTCAGGATGCAGTCTGCTAGGTGTCCTCCTTTGACAATTAATAAGTATTACAATTAATTACAGCTCACATGCACAAAACATCTTCCAGCCTTCCTTCCACACCTATGTGCATGATTCATCATGACTTGGATGACATCTAACACCTCACAGCAACAACACAATAAAGGCATCAGGACAGGGAGGGAAGGCTCTTGCTCTCCAACAGGTACGTGGAAGAAATAGTTGCTCTTTCTCCAATGCACTTCAATGTCCTAACCAATTTAAGCACTCCCATTCCTATGTGAGCCCCATGGGGACAAGTGGCTTCCTAATGGCTTTTCAAGAAAAAGAGCATCCTAGCCCTCATCGATACTTGTCCATTGTCTCACCATGACTCACAAAGCAGAGAACCACACCTTCTGAGTCACTGTCCCCAAGCACTTCCTGCAACTGCTTGGCCTTCCCTTTGAGCCTCTCTTCCCTTGATGGCCCTTTCCTTCAAGCAAGGGCTCAGCCTAATCCTACCTCACGTGTTGGCTCCCAGCCATGCTGGTGCTTTGTACAGCAAGAGGACAGATAAGTGATGGGTGGGGTGATCCAGCTGCCCCTACAATGTGTATGGCATTATTTCCTTCCACTGGGATATTGATCTTTCTTTAACATTGGTGGCATAACCTCATGGAGTTAAGCAGGTAACATTGATATTAAACCAAAGAAAACATGATATGGTTGGACAGAATAAGTGGGACAGTGAGAAGGGGAAATAACGTGGCCACCTCAAGAAACTTGGCTGCCTGAAAGTGAACCAAAGTATAACATGACCACTGAATCTTACCTCCACATTGCCAATTAGACCTTATACTCCAGCACACCTGAGGTGAGGTGGGGACATTTGAGGAGTGTGGAATAGGCTGTGAGGTACTCACAAGTGTCCTTCTGTATTTCACTGGTCCCCTTCCCTTTCCTCTTTCCATCACTAAAATAGAGCACTATAGGATTAGAAAAATATCTCTACAAATCAGAAGCGTTAGCTCTTAATAACAACACAGTTTTACAAAAAGTTTTAGTTTGATAGTTTATATTTTTTCTGCTCTCTTGGACCTATTTTGACGACATTTGCCATGGAACTTGGTTAAGCAGAGCGTCGGAGAGAATTTTCAAAATAGATTATGGTTCAGTTTGTTCAGGAGAAGACAATATTTATAGCAATCTTTCCAGGATTTCATTCTTGTAGCTCTCAGGAAGGCTTTTACAGGCCTCTTGTCCAAACAATGCCAACAGTCCATTTGCAAGGGAGGTATGGTGCGATCCCCCTGATTGAGTGACTTCCACTTGTGACTCTGGGGAAATTGAAGACATAACCCACTATCTTTTTCCTTGCTCCATGTATGAGGAACCCAGGACTTTTTTATAGAGAGGGCTCTGGAAAACTAATGCTGGCAGACCTCCTGTGGAAATTGTGATTTGCTAGCAAGTTTCTTACAATGAAGCTTGACATCTATTGCTGTACCAGCTCAATAAATTCACCAAAATGTTTTAATGATCTCTGCTGTGAATTGCTAAGGTGATCATGTACTATAACAGCCACATGAGCTTATCTAGCTCACCTGTTTTTTGGCATATTTTTGTTACACAATATTGTTTACATTTAAGCTAGATTTTAATTAACATATTTCATGGAATCACAGAATAGTAGACTTGGAAAGTACCTGTAAGGCCATCAGGTCCAGCCCCCTGCGTAGTGCTGAACTCCAAGTTAAAGCATCCCTGACAGACGGCTGTCCAACTGCCCCTTGCATGCCTTCAGTGTGGTAGAGCCCACAACCTCCCCAGGTAATTGGTTCCATTGTTACACACCTCTAACATTCAGGAAATTCTTCCTGATGTTCAGCCAGAACCTGGCTTCCTGTAACTGGAGCCTGTTATTCCACGTCCTGCACTCTGGGATGACTGAGAAGAGATTCTGGCCCTCCTCTGTGTGCCAGCCTTTCACGTACTTGAAGAGTGCTATCATCTATTCCCTCAGCCTTCTCAAACTGAACATGTCCAGTTCTTTCAGTCTCTCCTCACAGGGCTTTGTTTCCAGTTCCCCAATCTTTGTTGCTCTCCGTCTGAACCTTTCCTGGTTTCTTGGCATCTTTCTTAAACTGCGGGGCAGCACTTGAGATGATGCCTAATTAATGCTGAGTAGAGGAAAACTAGTATTTCATGTGATTTGGAAGCAATATCAGTGCAGCCCAGAGTACCAGCTACCTTTCTTGAGCCACATCACATCATTGACTCATATTTAGCTTGTGATCTACTACAATTCTGAGATCCTTCTTGTTTGTAGTATTGTTGAGCCAAGTATCCCCAATCTTGTAAATTTTTTCCTGTATGCAGAATTTTGCATGTTTCCTTGTAAATGTCACTGTGTTGTTTTCAGCTCACTGCTCCAACCTACCAAGATCACGTTGAATTTTGTTTCTAATTTCTGGGGCAGTAGCTGTCCAACCCAATTTTGTGTCATCTGCACATTTGAGAAGCATTCCCTGAACCTCTCATCCTAATCATTCCTAAAACATGCTGAAGAGCACTGGTCCCAGCACTGTACCCTATAGTACCCCTCTTGTTCCCTTTCTCCAGTTTCAGAAGGTACCACTGATAAGTGCTCTCTGAGTCTGATTCTGTAGCCAACTGTGGATCCACCTGATAGCTGTTCCATCTAACCCACTTTTTGCTAGTGCGACTGGCGCACCAAAGCCGAGATATATTATGTCCACAGCATTCCCACAGTCTACAAGGGAAGTTGCCAGATCAAAAAATGACCTCAGATTAGGCAAGCAGGCTGTTTTGGCTTCTGGGAGTCACTGCACTGCTTTCTTGATGCTTGCAAGGTGGCTGCATGATCATCAGCTCCAACATGTTCAGAGATTGAATGTTTTTTCCTTTTCCTTTCTTGAGAGAGGGATATTAGCCCTTCTCCGGTCATCTGGCACTTCTTCCATCCTCCATGATTTCTCAAAGATAATAGAGTTGTGAGAGTTCCACCATTTCCTTTATTCCTCTAGGATACAGTTCAGCAGGCCCTGCAGCTCTGAACTTGTGCAAAGTAATCAGGTATTCCTTGATCATTTGCCTGTCAAGCAAAATCTGAAATTCTGGCCCTTCAGCTTGTATTTCACCCTTGCCAGGTCATAGAGCCTCTTTGGAGAGACAACTGAGCCAAAGTAGGAATTTAGCACTTCTGCCATTTCTTGGCCATCTGTTATGATTTCGCCTTCCTCACTAAGTCATTGAACTATGATTTCTTTTCTCTATCTTTTACTGTACACATATCTGAAGAAGAATTTTTGTTTTAACATTTGTGATTAAGCATCCCTGCTTATTGGTATGGTTTTATTGTATGGTTCTGTTTCTGATGGCTGACCTTCTGATGGCTGACCTTTTTGCTATGGACAGATAAATAAGCATGATACATTTCTAATATTCTTTTCAAACTTGAAATTCATTAGATTGCACTGTGTGCATTTGCTTCTAACGAGATTAGACTTACAGATTAGCTGGGCTGGCCATGATTGTTAAAAGACCAACAAACCAGAGTGTGTCCCACCTGTTGATCTTTTATTGATCATTATCAGTATGGGGGGAAAAAACCGTTCCTATTCCCATGTCAATCCTAACTTAGCAAACAGAAATATCTACCCTGCAAATAATCTAAAAAGGTCAAATACACCTGAGATTCAAACAACAGCTACTCTTCATTGTTAAAAAGTATCTGTATACAAGAAATAATGACATGATAGCCTGAGATGGTCAACTAGTTCCAAAATCCTTGAGACTGAGTAAATTAACAGAGAATTCCAAGAGAGAAAGATTGCCAGGGAGGGGGAGCATCTAGAGTCATGGCTTTTCTCTAAATAAGACGTTACACTGCTTTGCTTCACAGTGGCTTCTCCTATTTTCATGGAGGGAAAAAGAACATTATTTTTCACTAGGCTATTTTTCTCCCCTGGAGTTTTTTCTCTCTCTGCCTTTCTGTATGTTTCTATAAGTTCCATTGTACAACACAAGGTGGTACAAAGCAGAATTTAGACTTTACACAAGGTGTCAGTAGCAAAGAATGGCATCATCCAAGAAAAGATCGCATTAACTTCACCCTACAAGGAGCTGCAAAAGTGACTGGAAAACACCAGAAATACCTCATGTAGAAAAGCCCCCAAACGCTGCAGTTTAAAGGAGCTGTAAGTTGAGTTTAAGTTGCTGGGCTTGAGTATTGCTTCCTGCATAAGGCAAATGCCAAGAACATGTGTGTGCGTGTGGCATTACCAGCTAAGCCGACTTTGTGTCTAGGCACCCCTGCTTACTGATCCTGCAAGGTGTTCTCCAGTTGTGTACTGGCAACATCGAGTAATGCCACCTGAGCTGCCATTCCTTCGCACACCTTCTCCATTGCGTTATGTCATCAGACAAAGTTTTGCTTGCAGTTAGCCAGTTCAGACAGAAGAAACATTGCCTCATGACTGGACTCAGAACAGCCTCGGCACGATGAAGCTTGGCTGCACTATTCGCAGGCCAGCTTCCCATCAAAGCTAGACAGGGCGATGGCAAAGGCCTGCACAGCACACAGTGGATAGTTGTAGTCCATGGTAAAAGCGTCATCAGCCACACGGCCAAATTGCAACACGATGTAGTCAACTGCAAGAAAAGAGGTAAGGCACCATCAGATGAGCCAAGATCGGGCCCTGCCACAATGCCAAGGGAATAAAACTGGTAATGACAGCTTTTGGTCCTCCACGTTTTTCAGGGAAGGACTGAGCAAACAGTGATGGAGGAAGAGTGCAAACTGGTGATGGTGCCAAAGAGGGACTCTGCACAGGAGCTTCACCATGTGCTTGCCTTAAGGTGCAATCCTATGGCCTCGCAACATTGTCAGGGTGTGGGGATAGGATGATTTGGAGGCCCAGCTCCAAGGTCCTGTGACCTCAGAGCTGGGGCTTTGTGCCCTGGGGCCCCCACCCTCCCTCGCAGTCTGCACAGGAAGAATCTTGCCAGCTGTCTCTCTGAGGTCACAAATCAACCTTGGGGAAGAAGAAAAGCCACATGCTAGAGAGGGAGGGGGGAGCAGGCTGGGGCCAAAGGCTCTGACTGTTTTGAAATCGCACTCCAGCCTCCTTCCCTCCCCTTCCATGCCACTTCCCCTCAACAGCTGACAGTGGCTGTCTAGATAAACTGCAGGGTGTGGGATGCGGCAGGCACAAAAATCAACACCATGTCTCATGCTGGGTATTGGATGCATGTAAGATTCTGATTCTGGAGGCTTGCGTGCATTGAGGGCTGGGCAGAAGGACTGTACCCTGTGTGATTTAGTTTCCTTCAGGAAACACCCTTCCCCCTCCTGCCCAGGTATACTGACAGGGATACAGACTGTGCTACCAACACTAATGCTTATAAGGCACTGCTTATCAGATGACTGCAAGGCAGCCATGGGTCCCGTGTGGATATTTCTTTCTATTACACATTTCTCTAATGCTCTGCAGCCTCCCAAGTTGCCTGTGCTTTCTGGTCTGAAGAAGCCCTGTGGGAGACATGACCCAAGAGGTCTCCCCCTGGGCCTTAATTGAAATGTGGGTGGTCTGAGCTGGCTAGGCACCACTGGAACGAGACATGCACACTGCTCCACACCTCCCCAGTAAGGGAACTACGTGAAACCCAAACACAATCCAGGATTATTCCTCCAAAATAGTCTACTTTTCTCAACATCTTTTTGGAGGCAATTTCTTTATCCAACTGAATGAAAACGGTTGGAAAATATTCACTGCAACACTGGTTTAGAGTAATTGTTCTAACTGTGCTGTCATCCCCAGTGCATTTCTGTCTTCCTTAATTTTAAAAGCATGCTCTTATAAGATCTTTCTCGGATGCACTGCCACTCCAGAACAGAACCCGAATGTTCTTAAGATGTCACCCCCAGAGGTGAGCTTCCAGGCAAAGTCTGGTGGGAGCGGGTTTATTATCCAGAGTGCACCTTTTCTTTCAGTGCCGAGGCGGTGTGGCTCACACACCTCTGAACAAGGCTGTTCCACTCAGGACACTTCTCGTTAAATGCAAAACAAGAGAGCATGACGGGACAGAGAAGATCACAGCCGAGTTCAGGAGTTGACCAGCCACCTGCCAGGCAACAGATAACCGTTCTTTCAACAGAGCTACCAAGTAAGTACATTTCTTTTCCCAGCTGGGTAGGCAGAGCAGGGGGATCAATATGTTCCGCCTCCCCAGGAGACTTGCCCCCTGGCCAGAATTCCTCCCCAAGACATCTGCGGCATTCTAGTGGTCTTTCTGACTCAGTGCTTCAGTCGTGACTCCCTTTGTTACCAGTGAGGGTAACAAGAAATCTGTAAAAATAACTGGGGCCCTGAGCAGGTTCGTTCTGTCCTGTAATCCTACACCCCAGACAGTAACATCCCTGATTGGGCTGGACAGGTGACAAGCGGAGAAGCCGCTCACTCTGCAGAGTGGCTTGGCTGCTTCTCTGTCCTGCTGCTCCGATGCGAATTCCGTAGAGGGCCCACGGCCCCAACAGTCTCATCGCTCTGGAGAGGAAGGGAGTGCCCAAGTTAGACTGTTTTGTCCTCAGTGTGTATCAGAACTGCCAGTTCAAGCAAGAAACAGGACGTGCCCAAAGCACCATCGAGAGGCTTCTGACCAGATCCTCACAGCCCGACAGCACATACAGATTCCTAAAGAGGGTGGGTCCCCCTTGCACAAGTGGCTGCGTTCGATACATCGTTTGAGACGTGCAGGTGACATGACCCATATATAGGCTGGGTGGGAGTGGAGTCCTTTGACATGTGGCCTCCACCTGTCTTGCGGTCCCAACCTGCATTGGCCAGAGCGCCTGCTACTTGCATGGGGTTCCGCTGGTGCTAATGGGAGCATTCCCCCCTCCCCAGTGCAAACAGCTGGTGTAGGTCGTTTGAGCTAGACTGAGACCTCAGTAGAGGGGAGAGGGTTAAAAAGACCCTCCCACCTCTGCCAGGGTCCCAAGCTAGTTCAGACACCTGGCTATTTGCTCTTTAAAATATTTTAAAATGTTTAGTGAATGACATCTCTTCTAGTCTGGCTCTGTGACTTTATTTTAGTTTACTTCTTTGTGGTTAGTAAGAACATCTAATTCTTTCCCATGTTACTTTTTTGGTGGCTAAACAATGCCTAAACAAGCTTCAACTTTGATCTCTGCATTCAAGGAATGAATCAGACAGAACTAGAGATGGTTCATTTAGCTCCTTGTCACCTAAGGATGAGTGATCATGTAGTCCAGCCTTCCCCAGCTTGGTGCCTGCCAGTTGTACTGCTCTAGAGTTCCCAGCCAGTGTGGCCAAGGGTTGGAGAAGGCTGAGAAAAACAATAGCAGGGCTACTAATTTTTGGCGGGTGTTCGCAGTTCTGTAGAGAAATCTGTGAGGAGTAGGAGTGTCTCAGGTCAGCCAGACGTGGTTATGTGGCTGGAAATCTTACTTTGTGCAATCAGGAATTATGCTAACTCAGAATCAGAACCAGTGATGAAACCATCTGAATCCTGATTCCATAATCAAATATAGCTATGGGCATGTGGGTCTCAAAGGACAGCATTCTCACAGCTTGCACCTCACTGGTGCCTCTTAACCAAAGGGATACTCAGAGCACTTCTCTTGAACTGGAGACCACATATAGGCTGGGGGATTAAGTCCCCAGATGGGACCTCAGAATGTATGAGTGCCTCATAAAGTTATGCCCCAAGTGGTGAAGCAGATCCAGGAGGGCTTCCAATCTCAAAAAAACAAGCCACCAAAGTCTAGTTTACCTTTTGGGGAATGCACAGTGCCTAGCAAACAGTCCAAATTTTTATTCTACTCTCATGCTCCCTCTAGTGGAGCATCGATGCATGCCTGTTTGGCGGTCTGTCCTGACCCTGTGGTAGAACTCAGTATGTTCCCTTGCAGCAATGACAATTTTTCAGATTTCACAAAGATTTGTCTAACTGGAAAGTTAAGTGGCCTGGTTATGTGAAAACTGGGTGTGCTACCCAATATGAAACCTCTGCTTCAGAAGCAAGCAGCTCACTTCCCTAGAGTTGTTTTGGCATTTGTAAACACACCCACACCCATCACCAGAAGGCTGGCCCCATTTTTCTTCAGCACTTTGTTGTTGTTGGTCGCAAAGTCGTGTCCAACCCATTGCGACCCCATGGACAACATTCCTCCAGGCCCTCCTGTCCTCCACCATCCCTCTGAGCCCACTCAAGCTCACACCAACTGCCTCAGTGACTCCATCCAGCCACCTCATCCTCTGCCATCCCCTTCTTCTTTTGCCGTCAATTGTTCCCAGCATCAGGCTCTTCTCCAGGGAGTCCTTCCTTCTCATTAGGTGGCCAAAGTATTTGAGCTTCATCTTCAGGATCTGGCCTTCCAAAGAGCAGTCAGGGCTGATCTCCTCTAGGACTGACTGGCTTGATCTCCTTGCATCACATGCACCACTTGGGCAGGCGGGCGGGGGGGGGGGGGGGCTTCTCTGCAATCTCTGCTGTCTTTGTTGAAGCCAGCCTACCTCAGCCATGCACTTGGTGGCCTGATTGCCATTCGAAAGCAATTCCACAGAGGCAACTAAATGTGCTGCTTATGCAAAAGTGCAGCCAATGCAGAGATTTCTGTCACTGTATTTGGAAAACCCTCTTTTTCTTCTGAAAAGCTGTGTTCACGAGGTTGCAGCTCCAAGTGGCTCCCATGCCAGAGGCTGCACATTAGATCAAGTGGTTGCCTGAGCACCCTCTTATATAAGCGGACCTGCACGTATTCAGCCACACAGAAGACCTTTTAGGAGCCGTTGTGTGGATCAGCCCTCATGCAGCAGAGACATTGGAGCAGCTGAACCAACAGCATCTGTTTACCCAGCCTCCTCATGTGTTTGCTGTCCCTGATTCTGGTCAGTTTTCTAATTACAGTCGGTGAGGAACCGACATCCCAAGCAATCTATGTAGCAAAGCAGAGATGCGAAAGATAAATAAGCCCCAGCACAGCCCATATAATAACATTGCCCCTGTACCTATTCTATCAGCACCCTTTCTCTTCAGGATACAGGGGAACCCATCTTACACCTTCAGTCTTTAAAGTGTCAGTTCAGTTTACACCAATCCTCCAAATGTGTATTCCAGGCACCTCAAAAACAAGATTGCAGCTTCTGACACAGGGCCAATAGTGGTGGTGGATGTTCCACCACCGAGGCAGAGAATGGCTAAACTGCACACCTCGTGCATCCCATTTCCAAGCCTGCCTGCTCCTGGTCCTTGGGAAACTATTTAAATATTTTAAGCTATGTGCTTAATTACTTATGCACAACTATTGACACATGTACCTTGGGCCCTTGCTGCCCAGGGATGGAAAGTGGAGCAGATGTACAAGGGAGGAAACGGAACCTCAGCACAGAAACAAAATAGCTATCTGTGAAGCCATTGTTTGTTCCCTCAAAGGTAGATGCCTCTTCTCCTGGGACAAGCTTTGTTCAACGTGGAAGGCCAACCATATATACTACATTACCCAGACTGGCCCTTCTGGTAAATCTGTCAGCTGTGTGGATGGGCAGAAGACCGTTTCCAGTAGCAGTGCAGACATTAAGCAGGTCTGCATCCAGAGTAAGGAAGAAAATTAAATCTGCAGCACAAAAACGGAAGAGTTTCTAAAGGCTGCAATTCATCTGCTTTTTGTGGTCTGAGAGGATGGCTATTGCATACCTGAGGACCGGATGGGAAAAAATAGTATGTTTGGCCCTTCTGAGCCAGCTCATTCATGCATGCAGACAAAGCTGCCATCAGAAGTAACACAATTCAATGGGCACCCAAGAGCGACATAGAAATCCAGCTTCTCATGCAACTTGTTTGGCTTCTGTTTGTCCTCTGAGACTCTCTGTTTGTGAAGGGATGTCCTTTCCCAAGCCTGCACCTATTTGTTCCACCCAGAGTAGCAACAACTCTTGACCAGTCCTGTTTGACCACCTAAATTAGAGCCATTTGTAAGTAGCTCAAGGAAGTCTTCCCTCTCACAAGGTGAAAGGGCCAGTGGGACTTACGGTCATTGCTGTGCACAATCTGAAAGTTCTTGACAGAGGCATGAGTTACTCTGCCATGGAAGTTCAGCACGTATGACTGGGTCTCATCATTCCATACTGGGGCTTTATTATGCAGCTCAATTAAGTTGTCCATGAACTTATTCTGCCACCTAATGAGCAGCCCATCGTTATCCTGGAAAGAAACGAGAAAAGCACTAGAGCAAGTCATTAAAAATGCACCCCACTACCCTTGCTAACATTTCCCTGCCTAGAAGTAGATACCTCAAGGAATCACACATATGCACATAGCTGAAGCTGGTGCAACTCAGGACCATCCCTTCCTGATGTTATTTCCCCATCTACATCAACTGTGGGCAGCATCTTCATTAATACTGTGAGGTATTTGGGGGGCTGTGAAAGGATATGGGCCCCTGGCCCATATCCCCAGAATCTCCATCAATTCCTTTTGCTGCGAAATTTGTTAGGAAGGAATTAAGCCTAGGAGTCTAGGAAGGTGTCTTTTGCAGAGCCACATCTTTGGTCCCTCAGGCCCAGCACTCCATGCTGAGGGGCAGTACTTCCCCTGCAGATTTCAAGGAGATTTCCTTCCTGGTGCCACTTGGAGATGCCAAGAATTGATCATGGGGTGTCTGGATGGGAAGCTAGCACCTTGTAATGGAGACATGGCCCCTCTGGCAATGTACTGCTCTATTCCCTCCTTTCTCCAGGCAACTCCGGAGAAGGTTCTTACTCTGTCTTTAGTAAACCCATAGAGAGATGGCAAAGCAGGTTGCTGAGCCTATTTTCATGAGGCAGCGCCAGAGCCTCACACTGGCCCCGTGGCAGAGATTCTTGTGTCTTGTGTGATGGTCTTGTTGCTGACTTACGTTTCGGGGTCGAATTGGCACCCTCTCGTCGTCAGAGTTCATTCCAGGTATGACCACTGTCATTTTTCGAGGTCCCTTGAATCCTAATACATTTGTTTCCTAAAACAGAAACCCAGAAGCCTCATAACTGAGTTATCATTATGTATTATCCCCCCAAAGACGAGGGGTTCATTTATATTCCCACAACATGAGGGTATCATGCCCTTGTCATTATATACTCAGGGTGGTTTACAGATTCTCTGGATGATTTCATGACCTTCCAATTTCACCTTCTAGGTGATGTCATGACCCTCCAGCAGTAAAGTCTAACCAGCACATTTGATAAATATTTTTAGAGCAGGGAAAATGTTATTTGATTTTGAAAGAAAGTGCGATTTCCTCCGGTGTATTTGTGCTGTTCTGCTGTACCACAGTGCTGCCTAAAGCTTATGTAGCAAAAAGGCAGCAAAGGAACTGCTCCTTGTGCAGAGATCAGATCTCAGTGCTGTGATGAAACCAAAAACAGATACAAGCCTTTTGTAGCAAAGCTCTTCAGCTTAAAGTATTTATTCTGTTAGTCTCAAGCTTGGGCTGTACCTGCACCACAGCTTGCCTTCGAGGTTTCTGTAATGTTAGAAGGGCTCGACTCACCGCTCATATCACTTTTTTGTTGATCTGGAAAGCCTGTTTGCCAGAGATCAGCAAACTTCAGACTGTTTTTTTAAATGAGAGCTTCAAGGTCAACAAGTTGGAGCCAGGTGTAAAATAATGGCTCAGGAGGATGGACATACACCTAGAATCACCCCCTCAGTTCAGCCCAGGATTTATTTCCAGGGTCAGAATTTGGTGCACGGTCCTTTTCCCAAACACCTGAACTCTATTTCAGGTCATCCCTCATTTTTTTTCCAGTCTCCTAATTTATGAGGGGGAGCACTTGTTGCCACTAAAGGATTGGGGACCAGAAACTCCTTTTGATCTCTGTGAATCTTCAAGAGGTTTATAAGGAGAGCCTGGTTATCTTCAGCCTTTAGCAAGAGCATGGAACTTCAGCCCCGGCATCCAAAGCTGGCTCTCGTGGGTTCACCCCTTTCCCCAGACCACCAGTGGGCTCACTCTTTTTTAATCCACTCTGAAAGACTGAAACACTCCTAAGGCTTCATTACTGGCAAGAGGAACTTTAAGCTAACATATGCTGAGTTTGGAGTATTTGGGCCTTTGGCTCTACCCACATCATGGAGATGGAATTTGGCCTTTGGGAGGAAAGAACAGTCTTCCCCAGCCTGGTGCCTTCAGCTCCCATCAGCCCCACCCAGGAGGCTCCTGGCCACCACTTGTGGATATTGGGAGCTGTAATCCAAATAATTTAGAGGGCACCAGATTGGGAATGCCCGGCTTACGGAAGGAAGCAGTCACTGAACTGGACATTGTGTTAAAGAGGTGTTGTCAAAGATGCATGCAATCTCTTTCTGACATCACAAAGAGAGAAGATCCTGATGAGGAGCAAAGTCTGCACAAAGGGATAAAGTGAGGCTTGCAGCAACTTGAAGCATTGCCTTGTCTGTTGATAGAGTATCATGCCCCCATTCCAGATGGCTTGGACTACAACTCCCATTATTTCCAGCCAGCACAAACCCTTAAAATTCCCTTCTTGCAGATACCCACAAGCATGAAAGCCCAACATGTTCCAGCCACTGCAAATGGCTGTGCAGAAGGGCCAAAGGGAAGGAGTGCACCAGCTGGATACTTACATAAATGACAGCTGCAAGCTCCTGGCGCACGTTTGACCAATCGGCATTTGCTCTGTCAGGATTTACGCCATTATCAAACACTGAAAACCGAGTGCCCATCAAATTGGACCTGAAAGAAACAGCAGAAATCAGGCTGGAGAGATGCGAGTTAGGAGAGAGCTCTTTGCCACCCTTCTATCATAATAGCCACCATGCCTTGGACTTATTATTTCTTTCATTATTATACTGCCCAATAACCAGAAAGGCTCTCAGGGTGTTTACAAAGTTAAAACATACAAACAAAAACAATAGCAATAAACGACAGTAATAACAGGAAACCCAAGACAACTAATCAAATTGGCACATAGGTCCAGCAGCAGCATCTAATAAAACCATATTAAAAGTACAATTTTAACTATTAAAATGTTTGGAGAATAAAAGGGTTTTCACCTGACATCAAAAGGAGAAAAGAGTAGGCAAGAGGCATACCCCTCTGGAGAACTTATTCCAATGATGGGGTGCTATAAGCAAGCACGCCCTTCTCCTGGTCATCATCCCCCTTCCTTCCCGGGGTGGAGGTAGCTCCTTGAGAAGGACCCCAAAGGCCTGGGTAGGTACATATCAGATAAGGCATCCCTTCAGATCACCTGCCCCCAAGCCATGCAGGGCTTTAAATGTTAGTACAGGCACTTTGAATTGGGCCCCGACTTCAACTGGCAACCAGGGCAGCTGAAAGAGGGCCAGCATGATATGATCTCACCGGCCACTCCCCATTAACAGCCATGCACTTGCCTTGTTATGAGTGTGTGTGATTTAGTGAGGAAATATGTCAGGGTGCAATGGGACAAGTTCATCGATCAGGGCCTCTTCAGTATTTCCAGATGCTCAGGCCTGTGACACAGAGACCAAGCTTTCTTCTTCCTTGGCTAGAACCAGCTAAGCCACTTTTTCCTCAGGGATAATTCCCTCTCCTATCTGATAACAAGAAGTTGATCTCCATAAAGCCTTCTCCAACCTTGCGTCCTTCAGGTTTCTTGCACGACAAGTTCCACATCCAAATACAAGGTTAGAGACCTTAGAATTTATAGCCTGATACATCTGGAGGACACTTGGTTGTGGAAGTCATGATTCTTGCTTGGGGTGCAAGAAATCCAGGGTTCAGTTCCCAGACAAATCACCCTGCTGGAGGAAATGTGGGCACACATTAAGGGAGGGATTATAATTCAGTGGCAAAGCATGCTTTGCGTTTGAGGGGTCCCTGGTTCATTCGATCCCTGGCATCTCCTGGTAGAGCTGGCAACAGCTGAAATTCTGGAGAGCCACTTCCGGTCAACATAGCAATCCTACACATAACAGGCTCCGAGTCCTTATATAATCCAGTCTGTTATGGGTGGTAGAAGTGCTTTTATCCTTTGCCTTCCATTGTGGTCCCAATCTGGATCAGGGTGGTGGCGGCAGAGTGACTTTTTGTACTACCAAAAAAGAATCTAGTCATTTTGCTGGCTCCTTTGGGGCAAGGCAAATGGAAAGCATACAGAGCAAATCTGGATCAGGGCTGTAGTTGGAGGCAAAAATGTTAAAGCCACATTCCAGGGTCGTTAAGCCAGATTGGCCAACGGTAAATTGCTGCTTTTCCACGCTGGCTGTCTCTTTGCACCCAGCATGGAAGTTAAAGAAGGTGAGGTGATGCTAAGGAAGAGAGGAGCCAGATGGGAAGCCTCAGACCCAGCCAGAAGGTGGGAGGTTCTGGGTGGGTAGTCAATACTCTGAGCTGGATGGGCCAGTAGCTGGATTTCAGTATGAGGCAGCTTCCTCTACTCTGATTCCACCCATCCGAAAGTCTTGATTCTCTATAGGATCAGATGGACCAATCATGTTACAGTGAAAGGGAAAGAAGCACCCAGATCTAATTTCAATTTGTGATTCCAGCTAATGGAATATTTTGTGCAATAGTTTATGTGCATACACTGAATTTTATGGAAGATCCAAAAGTCATTGTCTTCCTCTGGTAAAACTTCTGAGTTTTCCCCTGCATTCTTCTTCTTTTTTTCTTACTGCAGAAAATCCATCGGGGAAAAAGACAGAATAAGCTGCAAAATGCCTCTGATTGGTAGTCCTAAGAACAGGAAGCATTTTCTGTCCCAGCCTTCCCCAACCTGCTATCATCCCACTCGGTGCCAAATTTGTCATATTTTTGGTATCAGGTCAAGAGAGCCCTTTTTGCAGAAGACTTTAAAGACCTCTCTGGTTTTTAGCCAGGTGCCTTTTATTCTTGGCCAGGTCTTCTTAATTATTACTTTTTAAAATATCCTTATGCTATTTTAAATCGTTAACTCTTGTTAGCTGTTTTTAGCTATTGTCTTTTACTTTTATACTTTTTGTAAACCACCCAGAGAGCTTTGGCTATGGGCAATATAAAAATGTGGTGGTGGTGGTGGTGGTGGTGGTGGTGGTGGTGGTGGTGGTGGTGGTGGTGGTGAAGAAGAAGAAGAAGAAGAAGAAGAAGAAGAAGAAGAAGAAGAAGAAGAATCTGTTGTTCTACCATAGTGTCAAACCAGCATGCCCCACATAGTATGATGGTTTTGCTTCCTCAAAGGATCCCACATTTTTTGTCATTGGCAGACCTAACCTCAGCTTTCCAATGAAGTTCTCTCCACCACGGGACAGGTCAGTAGGATCAATAGAAATTAGGTAATTAGAGGTCTTGCTCTTCTTGCGCTTACGACCAGCCAGTAGAAAAACCTGTGAGAGAACATGAGAAGAGCCATCCTGAAGCAGGCCAGTGTCCACCTAGTCTAACGTTCTGTACACACAGCTGCTCACAGGATCCTTTCGGCAATTCAGGTGTTGGAGACTGCAGCAACCCTTTTAACTCGCAGCTGATTGTACGCACACGCACACACACACTCAATATGTAGACTGATTACCATATTCAAAAAATCTCATTGCAGTTTATATTACAAAAATTAAAACACAAATTTAAGATACTCAAATGATCTAACTGTAATGTATACATACATCCACAGGTACCAGACTTGGCCACAACTCCCTTACACATACCCACTTGGGATGATAGGAGTTACACTTAAACACTTCCGGGAAACACTTTCCCCATGTTTAAACACTTTAAACACTTTCCCCATGGGGAAAGTGCCCATAAACTAAACTCTTTAGGTGCTGCTGAAGCATTAATTTCTACAGCTGCATGCCCCAAAGCCCGAGTCTTCTCCCTGATCTTTGCTAACTCAACGTTTTTCATTGAACTCCCAGTTTTACCTGGATGCTCAAGATACCAGAACCACCTGATGCCATGCCTAATCAAAGATGATTATAGTTAGGTATCTTAGGGATTGCAGAGAGATTTTCATGCTTCCTTTAATTGGTTAGATGACCTCTTGAGATATTCAGATAAAATCCTCTCCCAGAAGCACCAGCTTGCATTTCTAAAGAAGCTGCCATTGGTATCAGTGGAGACTTCCAAGGAAACTGAAAGATTTTTTGTTGGGACCATGGTAGAGAGAGAATTAAAATATGGTTCTGATGCTGCTTAGGCTCTCCACCTGCCCCCCCCCCCCCCCCCCCCCCCCGTGCACAGCTATTTACAAAACAAAAACAAAATATGAACTACATTCATGCAATCAATGTCAGGTGCAGGCCTTAAAATTAGGCAGGAAGTCCCACTGAGTTCAATAGGACCTACTCCTAAAATATGTTTATAAGACTGCAGTCTCAGAACCAAACTGTAAGTGATTTAACTACATGTCCTTCTTTCTTTTTTCACAAAAGGCAAGGGCTCCCCTTCAGCTACTCACCTTTTTGTCATTATCAAGGTGAAGGTAGTAGGTAGGGTAGAGGCCCCGATCCATCCCCTTCTTATCTCGAGTCACCCGGCACTTGATGGTCACTCCTTGAGGTGCAGGCCGCAGCACAAAATCCTCCAGGTTGTCCACCTCAATGACTGGGGAAGGAGGCCTTTCTTCCTTCTACACTCCGGCACCGAAAGAGAAGAGAGGTTGGTTTAGTGAGCACGCCGCTCCAGGCATTTCAGCTTGGCCATCCCATGTGGGCCAGTCTGTCATCAGGCTAAGCTGTCCTGGAGAATAAGCCACCAGGGGACTTGTTTCCTTACCAACGAATGTCCCTCCCAACTGAGCAGCAGGCTCACGGCAGCTTGGCATGGCTTCCTTCTCCCTCAGTCTTCCAGCCTGCCAATGTCCAGTGTCCTTTGAAGGGCTTCTGCATCCTTTCCCCTGTGCTGAGAGACTAACCTCCTGGCTACCCTTCCTAGTCTTACTGCCACACCCCTTTCCAGGGGCAGCAGATCTCACTGGCAAGGGAGAAGGCAGTCTGGAGGCCGGAGTGGCACGGACCTTTACACAGTTCTAGGCAGGTGGCTCTGAGCTATGAGTATAGCTATGAGGCTGGGCTTGGACATCATGCCAAGCTACCCCAACAGTCCTCCGACAAGCCACGCGTTTCCAGGGTGGCTCGTGCATGTTTAACAAATCAATGCTGACTTGTCGTGCTGGGTTTGCCTGTCACAATAAGCTTTGCCAGCACCAGCAAGACTCTCAGCCCAACTTGGCTTGTCACACAAATCCAGTGATTGTATTTCATTGGCTTCATGTGTGTGACCTGGATCCCTTGGGTGTTTCATTTATTACATTTCAGTACCACTCAATAGAGAATTTTCTCTTTGCAGTTTACAGAGATAAAACGCTTCAAAAATACAGTACTACGGACAATATAAAAACAATCTAGCCTGACAAGTATAATCAAGTCACATTCAAACGATATTCTGTGGCTCAATTAAGGAACTACCATATGCTGCCAAGTACCTTGGAGTAGAGGAAAATCTTAACCTGGCACTGAAAAAAATAACAATATTCATATTTTATAGTGTGCTTATCATATTCTATGGATTTTGTAAACTACCTGGATAGTCTTTCCTGTTGGGCAATATCGAAATACAATTAATAGTAGTAATACTGGCTCCATAATAGGAGGAACTGTCATCAAGGAAGGCCCTCTTTCTGGTTGCCACCCACCGAGCCTCCTTCATCCCACCTTGCACTGCAGCGGGTTTTATGCTCTCTAAGTTCTGGTTCCATGCAATTCCATGGTGTGCCCCTCTGGAATCTCTGATGTGCAGGGGGCCCTGGAGGAACATGGAGACAAAGTGCCAGGTCACATGGGATAGGAGGCTGGCCTCCATACGAATTCTCAGCTCAGCTCTCTGACCTCCAGGAACAGAGTGCTGAACATCAGGGGAGCTTGTAAAAAAAGCCAGGTGGCTGTAAAGGTAAATATGAACGCTATCTAGGTGTTTGCTTTCATTCTACTGTCTATTCTGAAAGCTGGTCCTATCTAAAGAAAAGTGAGTAGTCTGGGCAAACAGGCCCTGTAAGATTGTTGTGTGTTGTTTCTTTCTGCTTTTTGTTATGGTGCACAGAGGTGGCTGGTGTCATTAACATGCCATCTTCTTCCTAAGGTGCCTGTAATTGTTTGGTGCAGGGATGGGTTTGCTAAAGAAGCAGCTCTTAATTCTTCTGATTTTCTTATATCACGAAACAGACTTTGGAATTCCCCTCTGCCCTTTGAACATTCCCAGCTGGTTACCTTCTTGGACTTCTTTGCTTTTCCTTTCCTGTTGGTGTTCTTCTGAGCTGCTTCTAGGGACTCTTCCTCACTTTCATTTTTAGCGGCCTTGAGGAGAGCTGCAGACACAATAACTCAGTGACAGCCTGACAAGTATAGAAACCTACACCCAGGTTTCCTGACTGGCCTTTATCAAAGCAAAGTAGTACAATCTGAATAGATTCCAATGAACCCCTCCCTTTTGTTCTTATCCACTCTTCTCAGAAAAGCTAGAATTACAAGTATGATCTGGATGAGAGTATTTCATTTTATAGATTTCTAGCCCCCTTTACAGGGGAAAACCCCATATAAAGCTGCATCGATTACAACAAACTTCAACTTACAGATTAATTAATTAAAATAAGAAATTAAAATGATATACTGTATATTAATCAGTAAAATAAAATAAATAAATGTCAGATAACATCTCAGAAGCATAGAACATTAGAATGGAACAGGGTTCCTGACTGGAATAAATGAAACTTTAAGATTCTTCTAACAACCAGAAAAAAAGAACCCATATGCTCTTCCTGGGGCCAGCACAAAACGGCCCCTGCACTCTTATACTGCTCACTGTGTGTGCGCGTGCGTGCGGAGCGGGAGCGAAGCTGGGGGACATGTGCCCATATTCATACGGGGTGTGGTTTTGGTTTGGTGATCTAATGTGGTGATGGGGAGAGAGCCCCCGGATGGCTGCTGGAGAACAAGAAGTGGGCACTGTTCTTGCTTCCATGTAATATGAAACAACCTTTAAAACAAAAAGTTGCCCATTGCTAACAAGGCAAGTCCCAAACTGGAGGATTCAATGGAGAGGGATTTTGGAAAAAGAGGGATTTCAATAGGAAGGGCTTATTATCAGAGAGGAGGTCCTATGAAATATGCGATTCTAATTTTTTAAAAAGACGTTGATGAACATATGCCTGCATCCATAAGGGTTTGAAAATTAATTCCATTTGGTGAACTGATGCAGGGTTGGGGGAGTTTTCCTCAATAGTCAGCAACCCTAATGGACCAGTTGGAAAAAGGGTGCTTACTTAAAGACTGCGAGAATGAAGAATTCTGCCACCAAGTTGTCTGTGTATGTGTTGGGGAAACAAACCATGACGAACAGCCTGATTGTCTGTTGGGAGTACCATGGGTGGTCCAGCAAACAGCTAGCCCATGGTGGCTCATTCACAGAATGGCTTTGTGCAACGTGGAAACCCAACAACAGTGTCACAAGCCACAATGGGAACGGATGCAAAGAGCAGGTGGTTGGTCTCAGCCCTTGAAACAGCTTGCCTTTATTTTCAGGCTGTAAAAGCTGAGAAGGAACAGATGGTGCACTGGCTATATCCATTTCTGACTCAATTGAAATTATGGCATGTTTTTATCTGCAAAATGTAATACAATGGCAAATTACTCTCAGTTCGACCAACTGACTTTAAGGGTTCAACCAACTGACTTACTGGTCTTGCACTAAGTGGGTTCAGGAGAGCACAGGATTGTGTCCATAATCACTTAAAGCACAGCACCACCATAACTATTTGTATAAAATTGAGTTCGCTTCTGATCACCTGCCTTTTCTGAGAGGCTATTTGAGGGAAGTCCTTGGTTGCAGTGTCCTGGACTTTAACCCTGAAGTCCAGCCCTCACTGCACCACTATTTGGCAAGATGCATTTGGTGCTCCCTCCGTGTGTGTTAGTGTGTACATGCACACACAAATATGCAGAATCAGAACTTAGTAAGAAAACACTTTATAGATGCCTAAATACTGGGACATCAGGCATAAAATGAAATGAAAATGTATAAGAAGTATAAGAATCCAGGCCAGTCTTAAAGCTCTGCATACATTACCACTTTTCCATTAACATGATCTCACAAAGCAAGATAGCAAAGCATAATACGCCAAGGCACGGCAGGAACCAGCTCTACCAAGGGTGAGGCAAGAAACTGGAATGCATTGGAGCTAACAGGAAGTTAGCTGAGGTGATGCAGTAAAGCAGGACATGGCAGGTTAAGGCAAGAACCAAATGCAGCAAGGATCAGGCAAGGTGCAGGAGCCAAGCTGCACCACCAGCGGGGGAAGACCTATACGGCTTCCTCTTATGTTGCTCTTCCCTCAGGTCTCCCAGCTGGCACCCAGCTGGAGGTGGAAAGCTCCAGCAAGGCCTGGGACTGAACCTGAACACAGTGAGTGGTTGTTATGGTACTGGCCATCAGACAGAGCTCTTGAACAACTCAGATCCTGACAAGATGACTGCAAAGTTGATATGTGAGTTGTTCCCAGCAAGAACCGGTAAGATGTAGCAGTTAGAGTGTTGGACTGGAACTCGGGAGATTTTTGTTCAGGTCCCCACTCCTCCACGAAGCTCCCTGGATGGCTTTGGGCCACTCGTGGATGCTCTGCCTAATTCACCTCACGGGGTTGTTTTGACAACATACAGAAGAGGAAAGCCTTGTACGTCACGTTGGGTTCCGTGCAAGGAGAAACGAGGGTTATACACGTGATGTAACAATAAATCACAGTCCTGACCACAGAGAGCTGTAAAATTAAAATTAGCCCCTTGAATTCAGTCCAGCTATGAACTGCCAACTAGTGCAGATGTAACTGTCTGCTGAGTCAAACCTTTCAAAAATGAGACAGTTTCTGACATTTCTGGACTGACTACAATGATTGCATGAATCAGGGCTTCCCTATCTAAGGCAGTCATTGTGCCTTCATAACTGAGGATGCTTCACAAGATGTTGTGAAGATCACAAGATGTTACCCCAAGGTTTTTGCATATTTTCTGAGGTGCAATTAAAGGGCTAGCATACTACAAAACTCTACCAAATGGCCATGTATTTTAGTAATTCTGCTATTCTGCAGCACCATCTTGTGGTTATGTAAGGAAATATATAGACAGCCAGAGAAAGAACCCCTGCAGCAGTGGTGCATCTAAGAGTTCATCTTCCTTCTGCAAAGAATGGAGAAGCAGGAGCCTCAGTTAACTCCTTCAGATGATCATGGTCTCAAAGGCTGATATCATGCATACCTTTCTTTTTAGTTTTCTTCTCCTTAAGAACTTGTCCTGAAGCCTGAAACATTGCAGCTGCACTCTTCTTTGGATCAGTTTTGGTTGGCTTGGTGCTAGAGTCAGAGTCTTCTTCTGCCTCACTATTTTTGAGATCTATAGTTTTATGCAGAAGGGAATCAGTTAGGTTGCATTCTTCGAAATATTTAGCAATATCCCAGTGGAAATTTCCAACTTTACCACAAACCTTCTGCAGGCGTTAATTTGCAGAACAGTAGAACGGTTTGGCCAATGCAAGATCAAAACATTGGAAGCAACATTGCAAGATCAAAACATAACGCCACTCTTTAATTCCTGGTAACAGTAAAGTGGGGGAGGGGGATAAACCTTTCCCCAGTCCAGGTTGCATCACCCCCTGGTGGCTTTCCTGAGTGGGTACCGAGGAGCAGAGATCTAATTTAGCCCTGAGTGGTTCAAATCACCATAGAATAATACCAACAGGTAATGGAAGACTGAGGCTGGTGAAGGCTTCACCTTTCTTTTTCACTTTTCTGTCTTTCTTGTCCCCATTCACTTGGAACACAGAGGCTGGATCTTTCTTCAATGTCTTTGTGGTTCTTGCCTTGATGTCAGGCTCAGGTTTTTCTCCTGTCCAAGGAGAAAGAATTTGAGTTTTACTAGGATGGGGTTGTGCTTGGAGGAGAGAGTGAGTGAAAAGAGGGTGAAGAGAAAAACAACAGTCCAAAGGAATGAAGGCAGGGATGGGTCAGATGAGGAAAAGATAAGCGTGATTATTCAGCTTCAAGGAGTGAGAAGTAGAAAAAGAGATTAAAAAATGAACTAGTTGTTAAGGGATTTGCAGGTGACCTCAAGGGTCTAATATTGCCTTTGATATCCACAAAGTCATCTCTTTGTCTTACTAGCATCTCTGCTCAGATTTTTCCTAGTCACCCATGATGGGCTGTTGTATGAAACCTGCTGACAAAAACAGCTGCAGTCTTTTCTCTAAGTGCATGAGTGATGAAACGGAGAAAAATGAAGGCTAGAGGAAGGGGTGGTGTGGTGACTGCAAAGTACACGGCCTGTCCCCTCTGTTCACATCATATGAGAGGAATGGGGCTTACTGCCAGGTTAGCAGGTACAGACAAATGAATATCGCACCTAAAAAAAAAAAGAGTGTCTATTTTCATGTTACTGGTTGATGGTGCAGAAGTTTATTTTTGGCAGCAGTCTATTTCAGTTTCTGCTCTACTTCTAGTATTTTATAAGATTTTCTAGGATTTGGTATTTTATATGCAGGATGTGGCAATTGTGTTTTAAAAATCTATCATTGCAATGTATTTCATTATCAATATGTCAGGAGGACTAATAAAGCATCCAGTTGAACCACTGCCTCTGCTATGAAGGCCAGGCTGTGTCTGTTTCAGCTCCAGGCAGGACTTTGACCTCTTCTTCCTACATACACAAATGTCTATTTCTATGGCAAAGCAGGGCATCCCCTTTTATGATCCCCCAATGAAAAACCACTGGATTGTATCCAGCTGTGTCTTTGTACTAACAGAAAACATTTTCACTCAAGCATGACAGAGCACCTGCCAAAAGCTGCTCCTGAAAGTCAGGGATCCCTTCAGAAGAGTATGGGATGCGACAAAGACAACTCCAGTAGTTAAGAAGGATTGGTAATATTCAAGTGACCCACCCTGGTTGAGCAGAGGGGCCTTTCGGATAGAGCAAAGTCATCAATGGACTGGATGCTACTTGGAAAATCCAAGCAAATTGTTCAGGATCACAGAAGAAATCTATCACTTATAAAAAGATTTTGATTCATAATAATGCTATAATTATTAATTTTGCCTGGTGAACCATAAGGAGATCATTAGCACTTTAGGTCACAAGGCGGTAGGGAACTTTCCTTCCTAGCCGTCCAAGCAATGAAATAACCCATCAAGGCTCTCTGGGCAGGGGAATACAAGGCATATACAAAACTCACCAAGTTTCTGCTTTGAGGACAGGGGTGCAAGGGAGAGGGAAGGCTGTATTGCAGCTGTGCAGAAGGGCAGGACAGAGAACCTACTGTATGTTTTCCCACCCTCCTAGTTTGTGAGCATCTTCACAGAATGAATGTATTTCATGCCTGGATGGGAAATCAGTTCTGTAGAAGTCATAGGCTTTTATTATGCCTCATTCAAGGAATTTTCTGGGTGCTCCAGATGGCATCCTTTCCCTTTCTTAACTCTCACATGTTTTCTTCCAGCTTTTTCCTTGCCACAGAAATCCAGTAAGGCAGACAAAAAGGAATAGCTGCCCAATGCCATCTGACTGGCAGTGCTTGAGGGCCTCTACTGGAACACCCCTACTGCATAAAAATAATGTTCTACCAGCCCAGCTTTTAAAAACATACTGCATTAAGGTAGGCCTGATCCAATGGAAAACAGAAACAGAAATGAGTAATGAAATGAAAAGAGTCCATCACATAATAGTCAGGAGCTGTCAAGTACCTGATCATAATATTCGCCAACAGGCCTTTCCTTCAAGACATAGACATACCACCAATGCCATGATTGCCCCCAATGTTTTCTGGGAACTGTAGTTTTGATGAGGGTGGTGAGAATTTTTAAGAATTCCTAACACTGCTCACCCCTGAATTACAGTTGCTGCTGATCCCTTGGGAGATGAATTGAGTGTAAAATAAATATATCTGTGTTACAGGGTGATCTTTTGACATTCAAGTCACTGTACCTTTACTTCTGGGCTTTCTTTCCTTAATTTCATTGGACGGAATGTCTTTGTGGATCTTCCTTTTTGGCTTTTTTGGTGGATCTTCGCTTTCTACCTCTTCCTCTTCCTCCTCTTCCTCTTCCTCATCATAATCTTCTTCAGAGTCCTCTAGAGGTTTGAGGTTTTAGGACAAAAAGGGGTAGAGAAAGGGAAGGAATAAAAACCGGGGAGGCAAGACACTGCCTCCTGGTGTGTGTGTGTGTGTGTGTGTGTGTGTGCGCGCGTTTTAGAGGTAAGGACTTCCCTGTTGAATAGCCAGTCACTGTTATGAAAACAGCTATTAAGGACTTGTTCACAGTGTTGTGAACTGTGCGCTTACTGCACTTCTTTCATTTGCATGATTTTCCCAAATGAAGTGACTTGCTTGCAGGCTTTGGCAGTTTCATCAAGATGTGGGAGGAAACTGGCAAGGCTCTTTAAAAAGAGCCCATTCAAATGTGTTTATTACACATTTGAAAAAATGCACAGTCTTCAAATTAAGCCTTTGATTGCTATGTCTGTCATAGGGATTATTAACTCTACAGGTAGAGAAAATAAGAGCACACATTAATATGAAATGTTGGCTGCTTGGAACTGGAAGGGATACAAAACTATGCATTAAGGGTACATCATTTACACATCATTTGGGAGCCCATAAGAGCTTCTGGAGGCCAAGAAGAACCAAGACCCTCTGACCATGATGTTCAAATTACAACAGCTGAGCTTTCCTGCCCTGTGGTGCCCCACTGAAATTGCAACTGGTCCTTAGAGGGGGAAAGGAGTCATATGGGGGGCTAGAAAAGGAAGGAGGCTGGGCTTGTGAAGTTGTGCTAATTAGTGGCCCAGACTCCCCCTCCCCTCCCCCTTTGCAGACCCTAAATCTAGACAGCTGGAAATGGTCATCCAGATATATTATAGGCCATGGGCAGTAGTGCCTTCAGAAATCACCACATGATACCATATACTGGAATACTCATAAGCCTTCGGCTTTTGAGATTTATGAGCATCTGTTGCAGGGATGACATGACTGTACCCTAAGAGGCAACCAACTCTGCTAGTTCATAACAGTAGAGTCAGTAGAAGTATGAACTGAGCTACACAACTCAGTTTAAAAGCATAGCAAATAGTAACATATTACTATAAACTAAATTACAGGGAAGAAATGCATTTGCATTTCAGGAAGGTGCAGAGTGCTTCCTTTTCCATTAATGCTGATTTCTACAAGTTTCGTTCGTTTTGATTTCCATTCATTTGCATTGCATTTGTTCATTGTTTCATTCATTTCCTAAGTGAAGTTCTACCTTCAAGATCCTGGGATCTCGGAGCTGCCCGACCCCTTTGCAGCCAGCATGGAAACAACCGTGCCAGCTACCTCCCCTGAAGCTGCAAATGGACATCGGAGGGGGGAAAGGGTGACACTGTGGGGAAAGCAGGGAGGAGTCTAGGGCTGAGGACTTATGTTGATCACTCAGTCCCAGCAGCCTTCTCTTCCCCTCCTGGGCACTTCATCTTGACAGCCTCTTTGGAGGCATAGGATGCATGTAAGTCTCCAGAGTCAGAGGCTGGTGTGCACCAAGGTGGCAAGATTGTGCCCTTGAGGTGCGATCCCACGCGTGCTTAGACAGACCCCCCTCTCACACACACTTACAGTGGGGGCATACTGTCTTTCCATGCATAGCTCTGTGCCCTTAGACACACGTCTTTCTGCTCTGGCAAACATGTGACCCAACGGCCTCCATTCTCAGTCCCATCCCTCTGCTCTTTAAAGAAGACCACAGACAATCGTGGAGACTGGGAGCAGGAACAAGGAGCAGCCCCGAACACTGTTCCTGCTTGAACTGCAGCTTCATGTTATGGTCAGTCCTGGCTGGAGCATGGAGGGAGGGGCTGGTCATGTCCTACCTTGCTTCTTTTTTGTTGTCTTCATCATGTTGACATGGGAAGAGGGGAGTTCCTTCTTCTTTCTGGGATCTTTAACGAATTTGGCACATGAATCCTTCTCACTCTCTTCTTCAGGCTTCCCCTCTTTCTTCTTTCTCACTTTTCTGATAGCAGCTTATGGCAAGAAGTGCCAAAATTAGGTTGGACAAGGAAGGGGGAGAGCTGGGATACACCTATAGCGACAGACAGGCAGACAGTGGGAGGTGCCATGTTCACCATCCTAGCATTAAAATGTGAACCTGCACATTTTAAGAGGCTCAAGGCATGCACGGGGTGGCTTCGGGAGCAGGGTCCAAGAGATGGATCTGTGCCTCTGTGTGGACAGAAGGGGTTGCCTCGTGCTTCTCTTGGTTTGAGAAGGAATATCAGGAAACACTGGCTCTGTGTAACCAGAAGGTGAGCACACAGCAGCCAGTGGCTGTGCAGGGCTTTGTGCAGCAAGTCTGGTCTGCTTGAGGTGTGTCTGCCCTCCTTCACCGGAGTGCTGTAAGAGCAGCAGCTTACAGGCTCTGTGCAAGGGCCAAGCTAGATGTGACAGAAGCATGGCCTAACTTGGCTCATGGGGGCACCAGAGGGGGCATTTGAAGCCCTGGAGTTGAAGTGGGAAGGAGGAGGGTACTGAACCCATCCTCGATCTCCTCCTTGCAACTGCTTCTCTCTAGTTGTTTTCCAGCTGGTGGGATTTACTCAGCAGAAAAACAAAGCATCTGGGAATAAGTGCAACTACCTTGGCAGGGAGCTCCTCTTTCTCACCCATCCAGTTTACACTTTTAATCAGCCCCTTCCCAATGTATAGAAAATCAGTAGTGACTCAGTTCTGGCATGTCGGGCTGCCACATCGAATTTGGCCCAGATTTTCACACACAACGTTTGTGTGTTCTTTTCATTAAATCTGTGTACAAGAGGACTATGAAGCTCACTCATGTGCAAAATCCACAATGGCACGACCACCACATGATGGAAGCGAGGGTTCTTCAAAAAAGGAGGTAAGAAATCAATATGTCGTCAGGAAATGTCAAAAAGTAAGACTGCACACAGTGTACTTAGGGACCAGATCCACTCATTCTGTCATGCCTTCCTATTTATGTACTAAGTTTGTACCCTGCCTTTTGGCCTGGCAGGCCCCATGGCAGCTTGAGTCAAAATATAGTCAGATGAGCTCTGATGCAGTCACTGTCAAAAGCAATTCGAACTTCAGTGATCCAGCAGCTAAACATGCTTGTCTTTCCAAGCTGTCCAGAGAGGAAAGTGATTGGACGGGCTAGAAATGTTCCAAACACCTTGCTGAAGATGCATGTTTGCACCAAAGAAAACTGGGGGCAACAGCCAAAGCAGGGAGGCTACTTGGGGTGACAGCCTCTTTCCTCATCCCACCTATGCAAACTGCAGGCACCCTGAGACTTCTGCTGAGAGCTTTGCCTGGATGCTGGCTCTGGCAGGTGGGGACAAGAGAAAGACCTGCGTGGATCCTGCTCATGGACCAGCATCTGAGGTTATGCTTCCATAATCTGGCTCAGCACTGGACTGCTGCACAGGAAGGAGGATGCAGTCCTACGGGAAGGCACCTGGGAAGGAAGCGGCATGTGTCATCAGTAGACACATGCTTTGCCTGGATCAGCTTTCATCCCTAGCATCAGAGCCAGCACCAAAGCTAGGCATCCCGGCAGGGGTCCACTGACCAGAAGCGCCTGGAGTTGCTCCACCTCTGCACCTCACTGCTGCTGTACCTGCTCCTCGCTGTGATCCAGGCAATGGTGCTGGTGGATGGAAGAGGAGCAGATGCCGCTGCCTGCTCACTCCCTGGCTCTCTGCCTGCCGAGTAAGCAAGTGGGAGCAGGGATGAGAAAGCAGAAGAGGCACAAAGGCAGCTGGGAACAATGACAGTGAGAAGGTGGGCTCAGAAAGGGAGGGGGGCATCGCAAGCTGCCTTATATCAAGGCAGAGCACTGTTCCATCCAGCCTTGTGTTGCCAATGCTGACTGGCAGCCCTGGCTCGCTGGCATTTCAGGATGGGTTCTTTCCTAGCCATGCCAGGAGATGTCAGAGGGCAAGCAGCTGCCCTCTCACACGAAGCTATGTCTCCTCTCTCATCGGGGCTTGCGGAGGCTGCCTGGATGAGGAGCCTGCAAAAACCTGCAGCCAGCAGTGCCTGAAGACCCCTCCCTGGTACGTGCAATCCAGTTTCTCAAGCCAGACGATCTGCACGGGGCCTTGGAGAGTTACTGCCTGCCTGTGCGGATAATGCAGTGGCCACCAGTCCTCTGATGTAATCTGAGCCAGCTTCATATGTATGACCATCCCAGGAGCACTGTGTCCCTTACCTTGCGGGGGCACACTGGGGTCCCCTGCGGGGCCTGAGTCCTCTGGCTTCTTCACTCTGGATTTCTTGGGCTTCGCTTCCACCGTAGCCTCTGGCCGTTTCTTCTTTGGCTTCTGCTCCCACAGGTGTGCCTGCATGAGGGAACATGGGCAGAGAGAAGGGAATGTAGTATCGCTCTCCTGAAACGGTCCCCAGGTGCAGTGACCAGGTATTTCCATATCGGCTAAGGGCAGCCAGCTGTTTGGCTGGCATAGTTGCTCATGGCCACCTATTGGGAACCCTTTGATCACACAATAGATGTAATCCTTGCCCTGAAGGGAACTGGGTGCTCTGTATTAGTAACATTGCAGTTCCTTTTTGTTGGGAAGAGACCCTCATATAGATAGCAAGGGAGAGATCCTGGTGAGAGGTGAAGGTGTTCAAAGGGGTCCGTTCCCTTCCACTGGCCACAGCGCGCTCTGGAGGATGCACCAGGGGTGGGGTGGGGATTACTCTTACATTATCAAAATTGGGAGGGACCTCTGCATTGGAACACATGTTCTGCATGCAGAAGGCCCTCTGTGCAATCGCTGCCATCTCTAATTTAAAGGTCCAGGTAGCAGCTGGTGGGGAAGACTTGTTCTTCAGAACCTGGGCAGCTGCTTCTGACAGAGGCAGAGTTAGGGGGCTGTCCCCTGGGTCTGTAGCCCCAACTCCTTGGGAGACAATCTGTCCCCCCACCCCACTGTCCATGGGCACTGACTGAAATAAAGGTACAGAGGCTCCTGTGTTGTATCTGATCCCCCTGGTTTCGTTGGCTTTTGGCCCACGTGTGCCTCCCCTCCTGCTGCCTCCCTCCTTTGAATCTTTTGGCTGAGTTTTTCCCCCCTGAAGTCAAGTTCTCTCCTCTCCCCCTTTCCTACATCTCTTTATTAACAAATAACGGTGTCTTCAGGGGAGAGGCTCTTTTAAACACACAGGCTTGAGAACATTTGTAAATCAGCACAAGCAAATGTGTGCATTTTGTTTGGTCCCACAGGCCTGAGCTGTGGATCTAGCAGTGCCCCTAGCTTCCAGTTGGAGCTGGACATGTTGGTCTAGATGAGAAAATGGCCTGGCCTGTTTTTAGTTAGTTTCCTAACTTGCTAACAGAATAGGGAGAGCATTAGAGTGCAGGGTTAATAAACAAATACTCCAATCTGCATCCCAATTTACTGAAGTCTCTTACGGTAAAATGTGGATATGGTTAAGAAAAAAGAAGAGGAGGGAAGGGCAGAGCCCATGTATTCTCATTCCTCTTCTTTGCCCTGCCATCAGGGTGCTGCTCAGGGGTCTGGAAGTTGTGCATCAAAGCAACTTGATGGCAAGGTGTTAGGTAGAGTAAGGGTGGGAAAACTCTTAGCATCTGGGTGACCCAAATGACTAACAGCCATTTAGAAGCTTATCAGAAGCCAGGGAAAGCTTAGGCTGGACAAGATCTCCAGCGATTACAAGATCATCGCAAGATGTAGCCCATAATACCTCCCTTTCTGCCACAGGGATAATTTGTTCACCCTCCAATCTTCTTGCCTTGCCTTGCCTGATTTCACTGATTTTCTATAAAAATTCCAGTTCTATAGAAAACATTAATCACAAAGCTAAATAAACAAAATGGCACAACTGTTCAGTTGTTTCTCAGCGCCGAATTTTCAGGTTTTGAGGTTTGTTTTTGCATTTTTGACATCCATTTGTGAGAACTTGCATCCTGGTGTTTGTGTGTGCGCACGCGGGGACACGGATGCACACACCACCCCCCTCTTATGCAACTCATGCTGGGCGCCACCAAAACCAACAGAATGAGATGTTAGACACATCCGAGCAAAGAAAAATAGAAGCACAGAAGCTACTCTTTTGTGTTTGCAAAGTGTGAAGAGATTTACTAACTCAGGCCTTTTCACAACTTGAGCAACATAGGAAGAATAGACGAGGCAGGTCAGGAGGCCCTGGTAGCACCAGGATCGGAACTGGGTGTGTCCCAAAAGAAGGAAACAGACCCATGTTGCCAATCTGCAGCATCAATCCTCTACAGTCAACCCCCTGAATCAGCCCTCTCTGAAATGATGGGATTGGTGGCTTCCGGTTTTTAAAATATTAGGGTATAAACGACAACCATGTTATCACGGGTTTCTTTAAAACCACCCGGGCTAGAAATTTAAAGACAGATGCAATAGAAAATAAAAACGGTGATTGCTTCTCTTTCATGTAAATATCAAATTAAAATGTGGGTGTGCCACCCCAGTGTTGCGGGACATTTATTTCCTGGAAAAAAAAAAAAACACCCAAGGCTGAAGAAAACATGATAAAACCCAATTGTTACTAAGCAGTGATGAATAGGGCAGGATCAACCACACCCACCTTGCATGAGCCTTGGATTATTTTAGGCTGCACCACAAGTAACACCACTAGATGGCTCAGCAATGCTTAAGAAGAAACTAAATTATCCTGTTTACGCAGTGGTATCGTGAATAAACTGAATCAGCTGGAGCTTTATCATAGACAGACTGATGGATCTGCATTGCCTCCTAAACATATTGCATAACATACATACAATTATGTTGGGATGGCTGCGTGGAGAAACTCCTGCAGCAGCTGCTACTCTTTCCAATGGACTCTGTGGTAGTACCATGGAAACCAAGATGACAGGTTTGGACAACCAGAGAAACGATGGTGAAATGTGAACACCATGGAACAGACCATTGTTTCTTATTATGGTTCCTAAAAATCAAGTTCCTAAAAATTATGCTAAAATACTGAAGCAGGTTGGCACAAACAGGCCCTCCTGCACAAGAAACTACCGTGGCTTGTTGTGTCATGTGAACCCATCCATTTTCAAGTCCAAGTGATGAGAATCACAATAAACTTGCATTAGTTTCTTGAATGTAAACACTGAAAAGGACATAGGAATGTTACTAGAGAAAGAAGCTGCACTTCAATGTATTTCACAAGGTAAATATATCTAATATTTACTGACACAAAAGTACTATCTTAAGACTGCTAGGATGCAGCCCTGTGTGACTGCCTGTAACCTTCCAAATGCGGAAAGTTGTGGGCATTCAACTGAATGAAGAAGGACCATGGGGGCGGGGGCTGCCTCCAAGACTCCCATTGCTCTCAAAAACATTTAGATCATGAATTTCAGTCACCTAAATGTTTTGCCCCTTCTCACAAGAAGGAGGTGCTGTGGCACCACTTGAACTTGTCAAAACCTCATCTTTCTCCCCTCCACCTTTCAGAAGGTCCCCAAAACACATATTATGAAGATGGTCTTCCTTCTTTGGGGCCTCAGACAACACTAAAAGAGCTGTGCCAGCTGAGGGTGGAGGAAAGGGCCTTTGAAAGTGGAGCACCTGCTGTGACTGCAGAAGGCTTCTCCAAGGTTTTGGTAGGGATGCTGCTTTTTCTACAGTGTCTGCAGGCCATACAGTTGTGCCCATATTGGATGTGGGAGCTTTAACTTCTTGTTGGTAATTTAAGTCTATTTCTACACCATCAAATATGCCTTGTTGAACTTAATTCACAGTGTTCATTACCTCATTATTAGGGACACTTAAAACCCCCCAACAGTTTAAGATCATTTGGGAGAGAAAATTCCAGTGTGTGCTGTTAGCTTGAGGGACCAGTTAAAGCTTACCAGTTCTTGAAAAAAAAGTCACAGAAATAATCTGAATGACTTACCAGTCAGAAGCCGCATTGACAGCAAACAGGGAAACAAATGACAAGACATTTAATGGTCATCGAGGAAGTACAGTGACCAAACAACAAGCAGGGGAACGGTACTTAGTAGCTCATCCTTGATTTCCATGAGAGACTCTGGGCTTCTCTGTGTGAGACATTTCCCTCTGTGCTTTATCTAGGCTGCTTCTAATATTTCCTTTGTGGAAGGAAAGATGTCCTTTTTTGGACGCGAGATTACTTTGGAGGGCGGGTTCCCTGCTGCCTTGGTAAATGCTCCATTACACAACGCAAGGTTGCACTGTGAGATACATCAGAATTTAGACTTTACATAAGGCTTCCATAAGAAATGATGGTGCCATCCAGGAAAATAATTTATTACTCTCTCCTTAAAAAAACAAGCTGCAGGAATGGCTGGACAACATGCTAGAGGTTCTGGAAGGAGGCTGCCATTGTGTAAAGAACCCAGACAATTCCATGTGCAAGAGATCACACACTAACAATAAATGGCATATGTAACAAAACTCTCAAAGCCTTGTACACACCATTGCTCTTTAAAATCATAACGGGAGGACGTCATTCTTCCTCGGCACAGTGATCTAGAGTCAGTCCTGGTTCACTGACACCAGTTGCCTCACTCTTTTGGTTTGGTTTGTGGTCACTGCATTTCAATGGCATATACACGAAAGAGGGGTAGGAATTGTTGTCTGAGAAAAGTTTGTCCATCTACTTTCTTTTTTTCTTTGAGGTACAATATGCATGTCTTTTCTGGAAAAGAGAGCTATATATGCAACTTCAGAAAAAATAAATGCAAGAGAAGTAATTAAGGCTGGCTGGCTGGCTGGAGCAAGCCGCAAGTTGTGGAGCTTGCTCTGTCTAAACAGGATTGCCCCATAAATAGTTAAAAATGGGGGGGGGGAGTGTTATGGGAGGACAATTTGCAGGAGGGAGGGAGGGGAGAGGAAACTCCTATTATCATCTTTTTAAAGGAATACATGACTGCCCACGTGGTACAGTGATGTGTTCCCTCAGTCCACTTTGGGAGCCAGTCTACTTTTCCTTTCTATGTTGGGGACCATATTTCTCTGCCCAAACTGGCCCACCATATCTCATTATTAAAACAGTTGGGCAACTAAAAGCTTTACTACACAAGGCACTTATTGGGTGCATTTGTGATTTCTTACTTGGGATCATTTACAGGTCATTTAGAGGACAGTAAAGCTTTGCTTCTGTTTAAGAATACTTCCCTGATTTTTTAAAAGAGTGATGAAAATGAGGTATATTTTCCACACAAGGATTTTCTGCATAAGGCTGTAAATATGCTGCACCTACACGTTGGCCACAGAATTGGGACCCAAGCATTGCACAAGGAGTACTTCCTTTCCTGCTTTTTCATGACATAACCTCTAGGTGGCACTAGGGAGAATAGCACAAATACAGAAGAGGAAAGCATGGTTTCATTCACTTCCACAGTTAAATGCTGTGCTGAAAATGCTAATTAGACACAGAGATACAACTGAAGAATCAGGATATCATCAAAAAAGCCATAAATTAGTGGGGAATAACAAGCCCACAACAAATGTCTTCTGTAGAGAAACAACACTGTGGCAAAATAAGAGATTTTCCTGCTTGTATATTATGTGTTATTCTATTAAAGCACAGCATCACCTAAAGGCTGTATGTTAGAGAAGCAGGAAAGGAAAAGCTCTTTGTACAAGACTTGGATCTCTGAGACAAAACCACAAGTAGAAACAGCGATAACAGTTTCATGAAGAAAAGTTTGAGTCCCATGGGCATTTACATTATACAGAACAGCATGAGCATTACATTAAAATGGAAAGGGGAAGACTATATGGAAGGAGGAATGCATTTTGGCAGCAAAATGCGTGTGTCTTGTTTGCCTGTAGTTTATGGGATATGAGATGAGGTTTTAAATTAATAGCAGCTCCAGGGTCATTCTTTTTAAATATGAGAAGACCGAAAGTGTTGAGATGTACAAGCTTTTAGATTAGGGGTAGGAAATTTGGTCCCTGCTAGAAGTGCTGAATTGCAACTTTATTAGAGCTCAGCAGCACGGCAAACAGTAACGGATTATACGAGTTGCAGTTAAAACATCTGGAGGGAATCAACTTGCCTGCCCCTGATTTAGATGACATGAAGGAAGATGGTGGGAGACATAGTTCTCCACCCATCCAACTAATACCATGCCTTTATTGTACAACTGAAATGGCATTAGACCTCAGTTTATGCATGCAAGCACTCATATATCCACCCATGTCTAAACCTCAGCGTCACAAACAATAGACTGCCATTACAGAAGCATTAAAGTTCACTCTCACATCCACTCACGGACATCATAAAGGAGACCCGGATAAATGGGATGTGAACCTACAGAGCACCAATAGGATGTAAATAGATTTAAGGAATGTTGTGAGCCTAGAAGGTACTCAAAAATAGCCTGCAAGATTGAGGTCATTCAGAGCTACTGCGCTGAGGAAGCAGATGGATCAAGATTAGGTGTCTTGCATCTAATCCCATTCTTCAAAAGCTATAGATAATAGCAATCAAATACAGGTCATGTGGCTTGGAAAGAAAAGGTTGAAGAAACCGGCACTAGTGTATACCTTGCAATTTAGGGTTATAACTAACACCTGCAGTTGTCTCAGGATGGGTTACTGGATTAATTAGGTCAGATTAGCATATTCAGTCCTACTGTGAAACCAAGAGATTGAGCATAGTTTATGATCTAATCTGGCACATCGTTTTTATAGTTGAATTAGTGACTAGGTTCAGATAACCCTGTAACTTACACTCAAGGGTTGAATCTAAGGTGAGTGTGGATTGTTGTTGAAATGTGGGTTATGGTACTGTGTGAACGCAGGCACGATGAACCATGGTGAGATTTTGTCCAACTTCTTTACTGAATAGGCTCAGGAACCTCCTCTTTACTATTATGTGGCAGCTCCCTTTTCTCCATGCTATTTTGTTATCACTTGCTCAAAAAAAGAGTCGCATCCATCTGGTTCTGTCCAGCTTGCAGTGGTGCAAAGGCATGGCTACAGGAAATTATTCTGGGCCAGTTCCAAGGCAGGATTAGCAGACAGTGCTAATCAAAGAGCAGCAAGCAGGGAGTGGGTGCATAGACCTCCATCCAGTACTCTAGAACTGCAGGATTTTCAGCCTGAATCTCCAGAGACCCACCAGAGCAAAGCTGCAGGTCATATCCATGCTGCCTTGTTTTACTCACAAAGAAGCCCTCATACCTCAAGCGGACACTTCAACCAGATGAATCTGAACCTTTAGGTGATGCACTCCTGCGCATAGGACATTGCTTGGCATCTCCCCATGAGTGGGGGCTAAGTATGCCCTGAGGGGATGGGGGGCAGCAGTGTCTCCCAAGGGCCTCCATTCCCCATGATCTGCCCCATGTTCCTCAGAACCTGCAGCTGCTCTGAGATGCTCCAGGTGGGGGCAGGCAGGAGCAATCCTCCAGAGGGGACATGGCAAGTTATGGGCAGATCTCCCACATTCTCTCTGGCTACTACTACTACTACTACTACTACTACTATTATTATTATTATTATTATTATTATTATTATTATTATTACATTTCTATGCCGCCCCTTGCCGAAGCCTCGGGGTGGCTTACAACACAATAAAATACATTGAAATACAATAGAACATAATAAATTACCACTAAATACAAAAATACAAAAAATACACTGAGATACAAACATAATAATATAAAATTAAAATTAACAGTATAAAATAAGTAAATAAAGAATATAGGAGGAGAAAAGAGAAGGAAGAAGAAGTTGCCCTGGCCAGATCATATATTTTAACAATTAAAATGATGTTTAAATAAAAAGGTCTTTACCTGGCACCGAAAAACCAGTAACGACGGTGCCAGGCGGACCTCTTTGGGGAGTGAATTCCATAGGTTGGGCGCCACCGCAGAGAAAGCCCTCCTCCGGGTACTTACTCTCCTAATTTCTTTCATGGAGGGTTCCCGGAGAAGGGACTCTCCCGCAGATCTCAAAGGGCGGTCGGGCATATACTAACATTTGACACTGCGCTAGCAGAAGCCCCTTTGACTAGCCAGGCAGGAGACAGACACATTTACAGGAATACTTGCATCTTAGTGTGGAAATCAGGAAAAGGAGTTGGATGGGAAAGCTTTTCCTACCTGCTTGTTAATTCTTTGCTGCTGAGGGCTTGAAGGTTCCTTATCGACGCTAATGAAATGGGGAACAAGAAGGGGACACAAGGCGTGAGGCAGGCATGAAAAAGTTGACGGTATAAACATATTTATGGAAAACTCCCCATCTGCTGTTATTTACATGGGCCCTGCACACAAACAGTCATTGCGCTCAGAAGTTGTTTGTGATCCGTTTTCAAGCCAGCAGGTGGCACACAGCCATGTTGTGGATAGTCGTCATCCATGTTACGAGCACGAGAACATGCAAAGGGCCCTGCTCCATCGAATCCAGCAGTCAAGTTCATACAGTGACCAACCAGCTGGTCACGGAAACCCCACACTTGGGAGATTGAGTGCCACAGCATCCTCCTACCCAACTTCCCCAGCAAGGTTACACTACCTCTGATAACAGAGGTAGCATTTGGTTAGAGCACTAGAACTACTAATAGCCTTTTCCTCCATGAATTTGTCCAATGCTCTTTTAAAGCCGCCCACATGAGTGACCAACTTGTGGATTCCATAGTTAAACCATATGCTATTTTTTGGCTATGATAATCTGTTTCTGAGAACTGGGTACATAAGGCTTATCATACCATCAATACGAATAATCATTCCTTGTCCCACCAGTCATTTATTTGTACCATGTTGGGCATTAAATGATTAGTTTAGATTAAATAGTCAGAGTTGAAGAGCAGGGCAATCCCTCGGACTGTAGCACAGAAGAGGGAATTTCAGCAGGTGCACCGCCATGAAGAAAGACAGCAGTGCTGGAGTCATATCCTCTTAGATTACTTCAACACCCTCTATGTGGGGATATATTGGGGAAACTTTAGCCACATTCCCCCCACCCCCTTGGTGTTTATCTTTTTGGAGCATGTCATTCCAGTTTTGTTTAATCTGTGCTGGTTTCCAGTTCATTTCCAGGCCCAAATCAAGTGCTGCTTGTTGCCTACAAAGCCCTCAATTTTTTGGGACCAGGATATTTCAAGGATTCTCTCCTCTTACATGAACCTGCCTACCCACAGTGTTCCGCATCAGAGGTTTCGCTTCGCATGCCATCACCAGGTGAGGTGAAGTTAGGTAGGATGCAAGACAGGGCTTTGTTGTCTGTGGGGCTTCTTTCCAAGCCCTTTCCAGTTGACTATCTCATTATGGCTTTTGTACTTAAAACCCTTTTATTTTACCAGACTATAACACTTTCAAATTCTTGACTGTGAAATGGACTGCTTTTGGAAGTTGGGTATATGTGGCTGCATGAATGCTTTGCTCTGTTCCCATGTTCTCTGTATTGAGTTTCTATGATGCATTTTGATAAAGTAAGGACACGGTCCTTTTGCCCTGCCTTTGATGCATGGAAGCCTCTAAAGTCAGGGGGCTGCATATATCCTGTGCTCCAAAGAAGTGCAGTGGTGAGTATCTCTGCTGTCTCCAGGCTCTGCGCACTGATGTTTAACTAGATGCCCATTGTCGGCTTTTTAGGCAAAGCACTGGGGAGGGGCTTGGAAGGAAGCATGGAGGCTGGCAGGAAGCCGTGTGGTCCCTCAGCCCCAGACTCTTCCCCTCCCTACCCCTGGCTTGCCCCCTTTCTCCCCTCCAGGATGTGGTTGCCTCTTCAGCCGGTGTGGTTCTCTTCACTCTGGCTGTGAGTGAGACAGGTTGAGGGGCTGGTCCTTGGCCTCCCAGTTCTGAGATCACAGGATCTCAGTGCTGGGATCCCATATGGCACTTCAGCTAGTCATAGGGTTGTACCCTGAGTCTCCTTGGGGATCATTAACTAAATGAACACATGGAAATAAATTAAACATTCGTACTGGAGACTGCTGCACATGAAGGGGAGGTGAGCTGCACCTCCATGAGGAAACCTTCAGGCACAGTGGCCAGAACCCGTTGGATTCAAGGGGCTCCTCCTCCTCCTCCTTTGCGGGGGGGGGGTGTGGATTTTGTCAAGCTTTCCCCCAGCAGTCCATGGTGAAAAAAGGGTGACAGACACATCCCTGACTCTACCAAACAACATGCCCGGTTTTCACCAGAAGTTCTAAGGGCTAACTACCTGGACTGCATGCAGCAGGACTATTCAGTCCAAAGCATAGGATAGCAGCGTGGTTTTTCAGGGAGGAATCAGTAGTATGAAATTCTCTTGATGCATACTGATCAAGCAGAATGAAAGGGGAGGCAGCGCTGTGGTGCAGGCAGGATTCAGTGTGAAGATAACCACAGGCTTATTTTAATATTCCCAATACATCCCAAGCCTAAGAGATGGGCACATTTTCAGACACAGAGGCTTAAAGATTTTCATCAGAAGAGAGACTGATGGGGCCCTTCTGTGGGACTGCTAGGGAGCCATCCAACTCCCAGTGACCCACAGAACCAAAGTGCCTTTTGGTTCCCAGTGAAGGTGCCTAGTTCCTCTTAGTCCAGCAGTCTCCTCCTTCAAGAGTAGCTCCCCTCTTTGTACTTAGCAGCTCTTGCTGAAGGATCCTTAAGAACCCCTGCCATGGTGAGGGGGCAATGCCAGGGCCACAGAGCTGACGCCAGCGGCTGGCATCGTCAGACAGCCACCCTGGCCCTCTCTCTCGAGCCTTGCAGCCTCCTGAGCCAGCTCTTCCGTGCTGCCATTGCCTGTTTACCTGTCCTCTCCTTGCATGCAAGCAGCGACAAGAGATAAGGTTGAACATGATCCCCCGCCTGCCTTAGGCTCTCCCTCTGGCTGGTTGTGGGGTTGGGCCCAGAGAAAGGGGGCATGCAGGTGTAGCAGGGTAAAGTAGGAAATGAAACCACCCAGCGATGGGGCCCATGGAGGGCAACTGGTCCGAAGCTCCCTTGTCCTGGCAAAAAGCCCCCTACAGTTGGCACTGAAGTATCTGATAAAACTCTTGCTTCCAATCCAGGTTACCAGGGGCCACTTGAGTGGTGCAGCCAGGTAATTTTAGGCCCTGAAATTAATGGCTCTTCATTAATTCTGCTGCTCATTAGGTGGCCATGTGACGGGCATGGCCACCAACATTTCTCTTCTCCCCACATTTTGGATATATTTGAGGAGCGAAATATAAAATATCTGTAAAAAAAATAAACATTTTAAGTGCCACTGTTTTTAACTCGCTTAAGTCAGAGCACTATCAAGGCTCCAGAAAGAAAGTGGAGTTTGCATCTGCCACTCTCATGCTCTACATATTTATGCAGGAATTAGCACTAATGTAGATTTAAAGTAAATATAGTCAAATGAACCTCTGTGCAAGTTATGTACATGCCTAGCTGGACACCCTTTAGAAATCAGGAGAAAGGCCCGTGAGGCAAGCAGCCTCAGCCCTGCTGGGCAGCCTGGGGTGCTCGGTGGAGGGGGCACAGGCTGGTGCCGGGCTGCTCTCCCGGTGCCCGGCACCTGCTGCTCTCCACCATGTGCTGAACTGTGGGGCCCTGGACCTTTGACCCAGCGCCAGCCCCGGCTGCACAACTGCCCAGGGACGGTCCGTCATTCGGGAACAGGCTTTGCACTCACCCATCTGATGTCCACACTTCACGGAGGATGTCTGACTGAAGGGGCATTGCAGGCAGCCAGGCTCTCTAATCCAGAGGAAATGAGGGGCTGGTTTACAATTGGAGAAAAAAGTCTCCTTTCTCACAGATACCTGGAAAAAATACTCCTTCCTTCTTTTCTTCCTGGCACCAGTTATATGGAGAAATCCACACAACAAAGATGGTAAGATTCCAGTCCTGAGCACATGAAGTGCCAAACCACAGTGAATCTACACTGTGGGACTGTCAGGTGTTCTTCTTTGGCTTTTTCATCACTTTGTCCTCACAAGATGGTTCTGGAACCTCATTTTGATGATCTTCACTGGGGGCTCAGAACAAGCCCTTGATTCAGGTACAACTGAAAATGGCAACAGCAGCCTAGGAACTCAGCATGATCTTCTTTGGAGTTGGCAGTGCCTCTAAGAAGCAGATGAAGAGAGAGAGGGTGGTAGAAACCTGGGGAGGTGATTACTTTTTTATTTCTTCAAACTAGCTAATAGGATTTCAGGGGCTGATGGACTGTCAGGGAGCTTGCTGGGAGATTCTGAAGAATGGGACATCTGTCAGTATAATTCATTTGAACAGGGCCAAGCGAAGATTATTACAGCTATGCGTCACCGGTACAAATGTGTGACACACAGAGAGCCTGGCTGGGCCATTGCACATGGTGCCCCCATGATGTGCTTAGCTCAGGGGGAGCTTTCTCTCACATCTCTTTGCATCAAGATGCAAATGAGACCAGAGTCTCTTGGGAAGAGGAAAGAAAGCCCAGGAGACATTTCTACAATATCCAACCTCAGGAAAGCAACAGAACTACCCCGTTGGGTAAAAGTCAAATGAGGAAGCATGTAAACACCCTCGGAGGTAATTGTGTACGAATGACAGTATGATTGAGATTCATTTAGCTCCCTTGAGGC